TGTCGCCTTCGTGCTTAAATTTCAATTGTATTAATGGTATGAACTTACAATGAACGTTACACACACAAAAATAATTATGTATTAATATAAAAAAATGCCAAGATTTAGTGATTCACCGCTGGTCACTTCACGTCCTCGTTTTGACGGTTGAAATAGCTAATCGATCGTAATCCAATCTAGCAAAGGTATTCGCATTGGGTGGAATAACCTGCGTTCAAAAGTTATCCAATGACCTTGTTAAAAGAGTGAGAGAACTAAATTATTGTGGTTACCATGACACTTAAGCAAACAATATTATTTCAGTGACCAAAATAATGCCAACGAATTACCTAACCCTCATTTATATCTATTTAAAATAGTACGTGAGTTTCAATATTAAATAAAATTAAGAACTTTAACGGTTTAAACTTATTTTTAAATTATTTTAACTATGTTTCTCCCCATGACCGTAGTCAAAATAATTTTTATAATATAGTTTTACTAACCGTTAAAGTATTTTATTTACAAATACAAACACAAATACAAATTCTTTATTCACCAAAACTGTGTACACACCATTACAGGGGGTGCGAGCCCCCCCACCGGGGTTCCCTGGTGGGGGGGGGGGGAGTTTTTTCCCGCCCCATATGCATTTCAAACCGAAAGGTTTTATTTTAATTATATGGATAACATTTGTCATGCAATTACCTTTATTTTTTTTTTTTTTTTTTTTTTTTTTTTTTAAAAAAATTTTTTTTTTTTTTTTTTTTTTTTTTTAAAATTTTTTTTTTTTTTTTTTTTTTTTTTTTTTTTTTTTTTTTTAAAAAAATTTTAATTTTTTTTAAAATTTTTTATAGAAAATTTTTTTTTTTGTGTTTTTTTTTTTTTTTTTTTTTTTTTTTTTTTTTTTTTTTTTTTTTTTTTTTTTTTTTTTTTTTTTTTTTTTTTTTTTTTTTGTTTTTTTTTTTTTTTTTTTTTTTTTTTCCCCCCCCGGGTTTTTTTTTTTTTTTTTTTTTTTTTTTTTTTTTTTTTTTTTTTTTTTTTTTTTTTTTTTTTTTTTGGTTTTTGTTTTTCTCCCTTTTTTTCTTCCCCTCCCCCCCCCCCCCCCCCCCCCCCCCCCCCCCCCCCCCCCACACACATCTTTTTTTTTATACATTTTTTTTTCTTTTTTTTTTTTTTTCCCCCCCCCCCCCCCCCCCCCCCCCCGCGGGGGGGGTTTTGCGCCCCCCCCCCCCCCCCCCCCCCCCCCCCCCCCCCCCCCCCCCCCCCCCCCCCCCCCCCCCCCCCCCCCTTTTTTCCCCCCCCTTTTTTTTTTTTTTTTTTTTTTTGTGTGGGGGGGGGGGGGGGGGGGGGGGGGGGGGGGGGGGGGGGGGGGGGGGGGGGGGGGGGGGGGGTTTTTTTTTTTTTTTTTTTTTTTTTTTTTTTTTTTTTTTTTTTTTTTTTTTTTTTTTTTTTTTTTTTTTTTTTTGGGGGGGGGGGGGGGGGGGGGGGGGGGGGGGGGGGGGGGCCCCCCCCCCCCCCCCCCCGAAACCCCCCCCCCCCCCCCCCCGCGGGGGGGGGGGGGGGCCCCCGCCCCCCCCCTCCCCCCCCCTTTTTTTTTTTTTTTTTTTTTTTTTTTTTTTTTTTTTTTTGTACTACTCACGAAAACTATAGACAGTCTCCTATTAAATTTATTTCTTTACAGTATCTACTGCAGCCTGTGAGACTATCGTGGCTCAACGTTAAACGTTAAATTTTTATTAATAAAATAAATAAATTAAAGGGATCTAGACTTGATACGTAGGCCGCATCATTAGTAATGCATCCAGTCAGGATGGAATGAAAGTCCAAGAAAATACATCTTGAAATTTAAAAAAATGATTTAGTGTTTGCAAAGCCGTAGATTTCTTCCTTTTAAACTTCGTTATCGTTTTATTATAGCCAACAGTACGTGTAAGGACTCCACACTCCACTCCACAAGAGTTTCACACTGTTCGACGCAAAATATATTGCTCTGTCAAATTAGCAATTGAAACATTAATTTATTTGTGGAATAAATCCATGTGGTCGAGATAAACAGTTTTAATTATATTCAATTAATTATTAATAATCGCATTTAAGCGATATGACAGTTGAGAGTGGTGATAATACCTGTGTTTTGTCTTTGACATTTATAATGATATGGACTGACGTTGATAAATAATAATTAAAAATTACAATTTTTATCTCAGATTTCAATCTCAAAAGACAAACTACATTGATTTTTTATTTTGTAGTGTATTAAAAAAACTAATTTGACCTAAAACGTTATCCACAGATTATATTTAATAGAATATAGAAAATACGCAATATTAACTATTTGTCAATATATAAGAAATCATAAAACATATTTTTAAGCTTCACCGATTCAATTAAAATGACACTCGAATGAAATATAGAAATAAATAGAAAAAATCCGAAGTGGGAGGTTAATTGGCTTGTATTCGCTAGATCGCTAACAGACAACGACAAATTGTAAATAAATTATCAGACTAAAGTTTGCAGAACCTATAACGATGTTTGCATGTTGAATTCGAATGTAAATATTTTAGAAGTAAAACAACGATAGTAATAACATCTTCTCCCCATACAGACATATTTCTGTGTTCGTTTTACTGATTTAAATTATTTACTAACAAACTAAAGTGGGTAATTGACAGCTATGATAGTGATCAGCCCTAAACTATATATATCCTTGTTATTCCCTGGAATTCGTTTAACACAATCCTAGGTAAAGCTTACCTATAACCATTAGGCCACAAAGGTACTCTGTGTGGGTTTCTACTTAGATGTAATGATTTAATAAAAACTTAATATGGTGTTTACAGTATTTATACATATAGATCTAATTCGTGTCCCTTATTAAACTTTACTTCCTTCACAGTGCAGTAAGAGATATTAACATTTTTAACAGCTTATGTTTTAATTTATTTTATCGTAAAATACATACTAAATTGATCCTATAAGTTTTTCATCGTATAAGATCCATAAAACTGTTTTAAAGACATTTTGAGTACACTTTTAAATATATAAGTAAAAAATATTTTACTAACATTACGCAATATCGCTATATTATCCTCATTGGAAGCATAAAGGCTATTATTGCACCCATTATTTTCGATAAAATCACAACAAAAGTTTGAACTAGCCTAGTAATTACTGCAACAAACAGTTCATTAGTACCGAAATAAGTGGTGGAATACATTGTTGTAAGCTTATAACAATGCTTATTGCACGCGTAGGGGACAATGCATTCAATTCATTCAATACATAGAATCAATACAATAATCTACAATTAACTTTCAAATACATTTGAACTTGGCGTTTGTGTTGTGAGACAGTGCAATATATATATTTTATATTGTTCCCAAAACCATTCGCATTTGACTAATCACTCGCAATGACGTCACCGTTTAATAGAAAAAGCACAAAAACTCGGTCAAAAAGTTGACCCACGTACTGGGCGTTCGTCGCCAAACCCATACTCTGTTAATTAGCTCATTAGTCAAATTGATAATATTTAACACTGGCCGTAGATAAAGTTTGACACTTTCGATTTTTGAAATTCGAATGTTGTAAACGCGGGCCGCGATCGCCGACTGCACGGGTAGGAAGGCGCGCGCGGGCGCTGTGTGCGCGATGCTCGCGCCGCGCCGCCTCAAGCACGACTGCCGGCATGGAAATTCGATTTTTCTGACGTTTCCTCCGCGCCTTGCTTGACGATCGAAGTGCACGCTACGTGAATAGTTGCCTCCAGTGATTTTGCACGTCGGTAATAATAATACGATGATATTTATGCCACCACTGCGGGAACCAGACGGCAGCCGATCGTGGAGAATTCGAACACGCAACTTTCGATTCGGCCTTGACGTCTTCACCACTTGTGTGTCTTCCTTTCAAATTTTTTGGGCCTATTTCGCCCTAATCTAGTTTACCGTATTCGCTCATAATCACTTTAATAGTTAACGTTATATGTGTACGTCATTTTATCTCAAGTAAGCCTATCTGGTTTAGGTTGCATGGAAATAATTTCTTTAATTTATAAGGCCGTCTCTTTTATCTTATTTGTAATTTCTATAAGGTTTTAATTTAAGCGCTGTATTCTTTATATTTTCTAGTGATGGGTAGATTAAAATATAGCAAGGAATCATTTCAAAAAAATACGTTCACAGTCATAATATAAGATACACTAGTAGTACAGAAATAAACTGTGTCATATGAGACTTAAATTTATAACTGACCGCCCGCTAGTTCGAGTTTTTCATTGCAAAACTTTCTGTATCGTACTTTCTGTGTGTTCTTCCACCTATAAAAGAAACTTGTGCAATCAAATGCATATGTATTGGCAAATAAAAATAAGTATTCAATAATGTAATAAAATCATTAAATTATAAGCCTACAATATATCAATTACCGGTAACAAAAGACGACAAAATCAAATCATATATTTGCGACATACGTCAAGAGAAAAAACTTATATTATTTTACTTTATAATTATGAAATAGAATTCGTAAATATTTAATTAATGGTTTTGTTATCGCACTTATTGGAAAAGTAATTTCCGCAACCTAATTAATTATATAGTAGCGGAATATCTATAATTTAAAGTCATGAGTCGATATCGAATAAATTTAATAAGCCTGTGGTCTCCTATAAGCGCGTGCAACACTAGCTCGGTAGTTACTTCAAATCCATGCAGAGTTGACAACGAATCGAGATGTATTTACGAATAGGATTGATACGAGTAAAAGGTTACACGTACGTGGCCTTAAGCATTTATAGCATAGCATAGCTAGCAACAGCCTTATACCCGTAATATTGAAGGTTATTTTTAAGCCATCTATTCGCTTTTAACACGTATGTTGTATTCTAACAAGCAAGTTGAAATCACCTGCTTAAATAAAGTATATTTGTTAACACATTATTAATTAAACATTAGCTTCTACATTCGATATAATTGCTACAGATATTTTATTTAATGTTCGATAGTCCGTCAGTAACGATGCTAATATTAATACTAGCTGTTTTATTTTTCAATAGACACGGTAAGTTTTTATTATTTAACATTGACTTGAAATCAATTTTATCGAAGTGTTTTTTAAATATAACATGGTATAATTTTACTATTTATGAAAAACTACTGTTTATAGATTAAATATGTTTAAACGGTCTTTGACAGCGCTTAAGACTCTGGTAACCCATAATGATAAATATTTTTTTCAATTATTTTCACATTTCCCGCTGTATCTTCGCTTGCATTGGACACAAGGCGATGTTTTCCTTCCTAGATAAATACTCTAATCAACACAAAAAATTTTTTCAATTCGAACCAGTAGTTCCTGAGATTAGCGCGTTCAAACAAACAAACAAACTCTTCAGCTTTATATATTAGTATATGTTCTTTTCATGCAATAAGTTGACTTATATTTCAATTTACTGTTTAGCAAAGGCGACCAATACTTCGACTAGAATAGTTAATGGTAATGAAGCTCCAGATGGAGGGATCCCGTATCAGGTATCATTGAGGCTGGGGGGGAGCCATTTTTGTGGGGGATCTATTCTTAAAGCCGAATGGATACTTAGCGCCTCGCATTGTTTCGACCGGTATTACTTTTATAGTAATTTGTTGCATAAAATTGCGATCATAATTATAAACGAAGTCTTCCCCCATTATCTTATCTTGCCAAAAATAGAAATTGGCCACAAATTAACATTTCTGACGTTTTATCTCCCATCACCTAAGTTTGCGCAGTGGGTTCAAAACTTTTCTCCATGTGTTTACAAACACAGCTAATTAATCTTAGTCTAATAATTTCTTGAGCGTTGCACGCGGGTAGAATTGTAAAATTAATGTTGATTTGTATAGTATTCTCAAGTAAGTGATCTTGTATCTTTTTTGAGAAATAAATGTCTTGAAACTTAAACCTTAAAATTGCGATCATACTCCTATATTAATAAGTAAAACAAAAATTTTAACAGTAGATATTTGCGTATACCCTTTTAAATTTAGTTTTTGTATTAATGTTATTACATTATCCTATCGAACACACTGCTTTTCGATATTAAAAGGATCAAAAAAGTCCAGTAAAGCTCGGTAAATACATTCCGTATAATAATATTTTATCGGTTTGGATTGCGATGATTAATTTACTTGATTTCAGAATCCGATACGTACAATACATAACAGCACTTGTTGGCACGAATGATCTTAAATCTGGTGGCGATGAAGTTAAAATCGACAAGATTGTCAAGCACCCAGATTACGTCCAGAAACAATACAAAAACGATATAGCCTTACTGAAAACCCTACAACGCATAACGTTTAACGAGAGAGTTAAACCTATACCTTTACCGGAACAAGATACGGAGCCTGGGGCCAATCTACTTGTGTCCGGTTGGGGGCAGACCAAAGAAGTAGGTATTAAATTTTGTCTATAGATTACCCGAACAGTTTTTGTTGTCATAGAGGATAGATATATAACATCTAAACAAAATGTGCTATCGACCTATTTTGGTTTTGGATATTCTGAAATCCGCGAAATATGTTATCTAATTTTAAATATTACCCTAATTACCACTGTTCCTGAAAGGAATCTAAAACGACGGGTAGAAGTTAACAATTAATTGAGTATTTATTTAAAGTTCTAAGCCGTTAAGTTCTTTATTTGACCTCGGTATTTTTAAACAAGTGCAATTTATATAACACACAACGTGTTTGAGTTATATACCCACAAACGTTTAGTATGTATTTTTTTTTATTTTTAGTTGGGATGAATTCGAATTCCACTTGAATGAACTCGATAATTCCCTGACAATCATTCAGGAATATTTTAAATTACTTTTTAATTTATAAATAGACGCATAATGTCTTTTTTGAATTTCAAGAACCCTGCTGAATTTCCCGATAAACTCCAAATGCTGAATGTAACAGCTATATCTGTAGAAGAGTGTAAGAACCAATTAGGAAAATTTATACCAATAGATGAAACAAAGCTGTGTACTTCGAAACAAGAAGGGACTAGTGCGTGTTCGGTAATTATTCACTTTCTTATTATTAATTTATAGGTAATTAACAATTTAATAATATTATAGAAATTAAAAATCTCTTTAGATTAAAAAAATATTAAAGCCCTAACACTGCAGGAACAGGATTCTTTCAATTTATATAGTCGTTTATTCATATGGCGGTATGTGCATTAACATGTGAAAATATCAAAGTTTTAAAAAGTTAATAACAGTAATTGCAGGAAGTCAATCGGTAAGTTATATATGTTTATATTAAGTACTATATTATATTTCAATAGGATTAATATAATAATAATACCTTCTTAGGGTTTCCTAGGTTTTCGCGTAGTCTAGTAACTCACAACATCCCCTGATGATGTATCTAATAGTGATTACAGAACATCAAAATCACTTTTGCAATTCAAACTCAAAACCCGAAAGTTTTTATATAATAAAATAGAAATACATATTTGTCTATATGATATGTCTATCTAAAATAACTATTTAATATTGCCGATAGTTTACATGAGAAGTACAAATTAAAATAAAACATTTTATCAGTTTAAAACGTGAAATATAACTTATTTTTAATTTATTTTAAATACATTTCGCATGCTTCGTAGCAGCCGCCCAAAAGTCAAAATTTAATCTACTCCCGTTTTAAACCGTTAATATTTTTTTTTAAATAATTATAAATATATAACAGTAAAAGTTATTCGATTTTGGTTTAATAACATAATTAAGTCTTTTCTCACGTTAAATTTAGCTTCAAAACAATACTTTTGGGTTGAGGCAATAGTGAAATACATAATTATTAAAGTTGCTTTTTAAGGTCTGGTCTTTTTTTATTTCGTCAAATACATCTCTTAATATCAATTGTGTTAAGCTTTTTCAAATTATGCATTACAGGGAGATTCTGGTGGACCACTGGTGGAAGGAACAGTTCTTGTTGGTGTCGCGTCCTTCGTCGTAACACCATGCGCTACATTTGACTATCCAGACGGATATACAAGAGTATTTCAGTACAAAGATTGGATTACTAAAAACATCTCTTGAATGACTTAAAACTAGTTCATTGATTTTTAAAGATATGCTTAAATAAAGTATTAGCCTTGCTTTATTTTTCATTGTTGTTTTATTACAGGAAAATTTATTTATTTATTATAATTGAAATGATTCATAATATAGACGGGACACAATTTTACATGAACATTACAACACTATGCTTTATAAATATTATCTTTCGAACTCTTAAATTAGTGTCTCTCTTACTTGCTGTGTATACTTTTAAAATGAACCTTCGCTTTTTGTTTATTATTCCTTGCACCTACGCTCTTATTAAGCCTTTTTTATTATTATTTTTCTTCCGTACTTCAGGTTGCCTGGAAGAGATCGCTGCTTAGCGATAAGGCCGCCTTTCATTAATAAGTTAGTATGTAAGTTTTATATCGTGTAGTTTTTGTGGTATAATGTATATGTAAAAAAAATATCACAGAAAATTCATGACACGGTGGGGTAGTGAGTTCAAATCTAACAATTTTTATTATTTCATGCCAGCAGCTTGTACTCTGAATAAATTTGTTACGTGAAAAGTATTGTATTCAAAATTTTATTAGTTATTTTTCAGGTTACAGGTCATTTATAGGTCACGTTAAGCAAATTTATGAAATAGAGTCTATAACCTCGTCGCTACTTTTTCAACTATCGCCGTAATTATACTTGAAAAATTCACAACATAGTAACGTAATGCGAATTCGTAATTTCATACAGTATTGGGCAATAAAAAAACAGAAAGCACTCATTAGGGGTTGCACCGGATACAAAATGAATAATTTAACTCACGGACGTTTAGGGTTTTAGCGAACACGGAAAGAAAATGCCATGTACCTGAGCTACCGATAATCTTGTGATTTAATGTCTACCAATTAGTAAACCGATCTTCCATAGTGAATATAAGACTAATAACTTTTTTTACTAACAATAACGTAAATCAATATTTAAATGATGACGAACCCGCTCTAACAAGAAAAAATTAAATTATTATTGAAATACACTCTAAATGCGCTACGGAATTTGTAACTGAAACTTGGCGATGACAGGAGTAGTGGCGAGTTTCTTGCCAATTTTTCTCGTTCGACGCCCTTGATTTAAGAGTAAATGTTTCTTGTTTGAGTTTCTCTTGTCAATTGCATTGATATTTATAAGTGCACCTAGCTATCACATGTGACTAAATTATTTTTTATTTTGATTTTGATATAATTTTTTTTGTTCTATCCCTCTTTGGTTGTGGCGCCAGCTAAAGAAGTGGTAAGTATTCGAAAATTTAAGTATGAAGACCACCTTTGGAAACCCTAATCGCGTTGTGTTATCCCATCCTTAGCCTAAACCTAACATCAGGTAAGGGGCAATCTGAATCATATGAAAAAAACATAATATTCCAAGGATATATAATATCATAATTTACAGAGCATAAACATGTATTTCTTTGTAAAAAATATTGAGTAAAAAGAGCACAGGAATGTCTGTCCCATCTCCCACTTACGGAAAACAGGGTAACTTTTATTTAGGTTACGTATATATTAAGTGCGGTTCGTAATATAATTCTAAACTGTAGTTATGAAATTTTAAGTTTAAGACTAAACAGTAGAAAATATCACATTCGGATTGGAGCCAAGATCTCGCTGTTATCACCCGTTTTATAACGAATTTGGCTTACCATCCAGAGTCGTTTAAAAACTATTTTCTGCCTCCAAACACATGTCATGTTGGAAGATGGTTGGCATAGATACTGCGAGAAAGTCTTTTAAATATTTAGAGTGCTAACGTATTTTATGAGACTATTGTCTACATTATAATTTCTTCTTAATTCTATTGACGACATATACTGATAAAATATCTATAGTTTACGCGAGTAGTACACATTTAAATAAAACACTTTAACGGTTTAAAACGCGAAACGTCGGGCCGAAGTTAAAAATAATTTTCAAATAAGTTTAACTAATATGTCGCGTTTTAAACCGTTTAAGTGGTTTTATTTAAAAATACTGATAAATAAGGATTATAATTATTATTATAGGACTTCAAAAAATGGTTTAAAAAAATATACATTATTATAAAGTTTTAACTGTAATCTGTCTCACATACTGCGTTATTAAATACTATATATATTAGTTAAACTTATCTGAACATAATTTAAATAGTATATATCGTTTTAAACCGTTAAAGTGTTTTTAAACATAACATTATTTTTATCTTGATACAAAGCTGATATTTATTTTAATCGCATTCTCGTATTAATAATTTAATGTATTTCCAGCGAAAACAATAGTTTCCGTCGGCAGTACTAAGAAGTGGAATCACTACTTGCTTATAAATAAGTAAACAGCAAAACCGACCAAGAATTGTGACTCTAATGGCGCACAAGCTTCGAGCATTTGTACGTATTTATTTCATCTCAGAATTCGAAACAGTAACGCGATTTAAATATCATAAAATGTACTAACGTGGCGGACTGAAGTCCTCAAAATGAAATACGCAAAAATATTGATATAGGAATATTTAATAGCTGCTGAGGTATGCCGTATTTCTTTTTATTCTGAGACTTCTCAGTGACAGCTTTACTTTATTTATCTTTCTCGTTAACAATGGTTCGTAATATTCTTCTATTTCATTCTTTTTTTCAACGAGATTGATTGAATGAAACAACAACTGACAGAGCTCTGTTGTATACTTCCAGCTCTGCGATAATTAAAATTTCAATTCATTAAAAATATAATCGTGATACCACAATTGTGTTTTTTTTAATGACATAGGAAGACAAGCGTGGGATTCATTTGATTGTAGGTGAAAAACCCAGTCACATAACATCTAAACAAAATGCGCTGTCGCCCTATTTTGACTTTGGATATTGGGAAATCCACAGACTGAAAGGGAAACGCGATTAAACTTGACGACTTCCATCTGTGGGTGGTGGAATTTTGATATATAATATTCAGATTTCCTGTCGAAGGCCAACATGTTTCAGTCTTTACTATGTTGATTCAGTAAGTTACTAGATTTTTTGTTTGTTATTGTATTATTGTGAAAACTTTATTATTTTTTACATGTTATTGCATATGAAGGCACTATATAATACTTTTAATACTTAATACGTAAGTGTTAAGGTTGAAATTACATAGCGAAAGGTGCCTGTATCTATAAGTTGAAAAAGTTCGACAATGAGGTGTAGTACTCGGTAGCCCATTTGGTAGAGTAACAGCAGGGAACGCTGACGATGCCGGTTCAAGTCCTGCCTGAGTCGAAATTTTTTTTCAATTTATTTTCCATTTTTAAAATGTATTATTATTATTAGAATTTTAGAAACGACCGTTCTATACCTGATGATTGTTAGCAAGTTTTAAACTATTTGCATCATAATAACTAAATAAACTAACTTGGTTGGGAAACTACGTGATATCCGAGTCTTTTAGATGCAGGCTTGTGTTTTATTTGACAAAATATTTTGAACGCATCTTTATGGTTCAATGTTTTAACGTTCTTTAAAACAAGACGATTATTTCACAGTACGCAAGTCTAATCATCTACGAAAGAACAATCAACAAGGTCATAGGAAAGTTTTATGTGTTACACTACTCTTAGAAGTAATTTTGGATTTTCCAATTATGAATTGGTTTAAAAACATTAAATCGACGAACCTGTAAGCTCACATGGGCTTTTTGATATGACAATTATAATGATTCAAATCCTATAAGTCTACGTAGAGTAAATTTGAACTACGGGGTAAAAGCTCCGAAACAATGCTGTCATTTAGCCTTTGTAGGCTTAAGTTGCCCATGTGTTATGTTAGCACATATCGTTTCACGTGAAATTTTAACTGATGATATTGTAATGGTCAAGATTTTTTAGTCGAAATTTATGATTTTGCGATACCAGCTCGTAGAATCGGTATATAATGTTAACGTCGTTCTAGTACTCTCGTGCAATAATAAAAAAAAATCATTAAATACTGTCTGTAGTTTACACATTTAAATAAAACACTTTGGCGGTTTAAAACGCGATATACAATAATTAAACTTATTTGAAAAAGTATTTTAAAGTTGGGCCGGAGTTGATTAATTTTCAAATTAGTTTAGCTAATATATATCTTAAACGGTTAAAGTGTTGTATTTAAAAAGGTCATTAATTTTGCAAATAAAAAAACCGAACCATAAATTAAACACTACTACTACGAGTACTAACGCTGGCTTTTTAGCTAAATATATATCTCTTCCAACCGACCACTCTGAAAAGTAGAATAATAAGAAGAAATATTACATAAGAAGAATATGAAAAAAAAATACATTTACAGTAACTAATTTTGAGAAATATTCATTCTTCTTTTACAGATTATTAAACAATGTTAACGTAGCTATCGTGTTGTAGCTATGTTGTTACCACCTGCCAAAAATACTTACCTATCTGTGCAACAATTGTTGTGTAGCTTTGTACTTACGCAAATAAAATCTGTATTTAAAGCGACTTTTAATACTTGACCACATCATCAATGCCTCAAAAGAATTTTACATAATTATATCAGAACAATTTCATTTCGTTGAAGCCCATGCGAGAAATTTAACCCTTACATATAGACACATGAATCTTTTGAGCTCTTTTCATTTTTATATAGGTAGGTACGTAAGCGCGACTCGTTACTAATGAGTTGTGCTGACTTCCTCAGACCCGTATTGAAATCCCTTGAGCCGCGGACGTTTATTTCACAATATTACTCCGTCTCTATTTTAATATGGCATACTTATAAGAGAGCTTTAAAACTGAAATAAAAATTAGTTCTGCATGAAATATTCTAGATGTGGAAACACACAGACAATATGTTTTAGTAGTGTAGCAAGTGGTTCAATCCCCACCAGGTCCAACAGTTTTGTAACCGATTTGTAATTTTTGTGAAACATGTTGGACTTCTTTGGGAGTTTTGATATTAATCGGGTCACGAACCTCCACATATGAAAAAGCCCTGAAGCTTAATCACGTTTCGGTTTCAGTCTGCGGATTTCCGTATA